GGCGGAAAACCAAGCGGTCAAGGGCCGGCTACCGCCGGCGAAGTTCGAAGGCTACTATGGAAGGCTGACGGCGATTAATCGGAAGAAGCGAGAAGATGGAATTTGGGGCAAAGGTTTTCTAATTTGGGGACGGGGACGGGGCTGATTTTTTTCATGACTTGAGAATACGAAAAACTATATTTTTCAATTCCATAGATTCAATAATCATTATAACTATAAATTATGAAATTAGTATTGCTTTTCCCTAAGGTGATACAATGAGTAGAAATTTTATTTCTCAAACAATGTATATAAAAAATAAGTTGTGTAGTAGTATGTAAATTAATTTAGAATGACTATTATGTTAATTATTATTTAACAATTAATTATAAAACTAAATTACCTATTAATATTAATTGTAAAAGAACTATTTAAATTAATTCCACGACGTAATTATACGATATAAGTTAAAAAAAATTATACATTAGTTTATGTAAATTAAAAAAACAAAATTGCAACATATAACTACATTGAGCATAAATATATCAATTTAGAAATAATTTTATTTTTCTAATGAATTTTAATAAATATTATTATTATAAATATAAATTTAGTTTATTTATTTCATATATACAATATGGATGTCAAATCGAAGATCATCAAAAGATGATTAATTTGATATATTATATATGTAAATCCGATACGAAATACAGAAGTTATCGACTTTTAAAATACATTTATAATTCAATAGCTAATTGAAAGAAACAAATCAAAAGTCAGGGATATATTAGTCATTTAGTGCCTCGGTATGTAAAATTACAAAGAAATAAAGGGTTATATTAGTACAAGTGATATTAAAATACTCAAGTTAGCTAAATAATATTTATGGAATGTCTAAACCTAAATTATTAATTATTAATATATCAATATTATTTGTCCAAACCTAATTACTTACGAAACATGATTCTTTGCCAAGTAAGATTCTGAAGTACCAGAAGCAGCCACGTAGACTCAGCGCATTCGAAAATAATATATAGGGAGAATAGTAGGCAAAATAAATACAGAAAATACTAAAATCAATTAGCCCAGCTCATATACTTACATAAAAGAAAGAGAAATCCTGCCCATATAATACAAGCTCTTTCCCACGTCGGAAAAAGACGTGAATTTGTATGAGTTCATATAAGCATGTCTCAGCCTTCTATATTGTCTCCCTGGAGATATTCGGTTAAAAATGGAACGATACAGAGAAGATTAGCATGATCTTCACCTACATTAATTCTCAATTGCTGAAGGTGGGATTGTGACATCACGACTGTGGGATGGCCCGTTATCAGGATTGGTTCGGTTGAGGCCACCAGCGATGCCAACAACTTTGGGCTCCAGGTAAGGCCCGACCTTTCGTGTTAGCTTCCCCTTGATTTAAGGGAATGTGATTAATTCTCAGCTTTCGACTCGAAAGAAAGTAGTGTGTTTTTGTGTTGTATGAATGGTCTTGCTTTTGTATGATAAAAATCTAGAAGTGGGTCTTTCGGTACCTTTGGCTTTGGTTAATTTCCGGCTCTTGAAATGTCGAAACAATAGATTGCTTCTTGCAAATTAGGACTTATCTGCAAACAATTCCTTAATCATCTTGTTCTGTTTTTACATCTCAATCACATATTACGTTCCTGTTTTTTGAGGATTCTTTGCATGCATTTGTGAACATTAAGAAAGTGATTCTCAGACTTTTGGATTAATAGTAGTTTTTTTGTGTGTTTTCGAAATTCAAATACCTACTGCTTCTTTGATAAGCTTGTGAGACTACACTCACGGCCAACTCACTACGATAAACGACGACTCATTTATAAGCAAATGTTCCGGCCCACGATTACCCCTTTTCTTTTTTTATCCACCGAAAGCATAGTTCAATTCAATTCCGAGCTAAATCATTCTTTAAAACAGCTCCTTAGATCAACGCAACACTTTTGTAAAAGTACTATTTACTGAACTTCTTATTTCGGTTTTCAGGGTTGCGTTTTCACGAAAGACGTCGACAAGGCAATGTTGGTTAGTGATGCCATACTGTTCAGATTCACCCTTTTACAATAGAAAAACAGAAAATCGTAGTCTTTGTAAGTCTCGTTTCTATCCTCTTCAGTACCGTTTTTTCGACTGGGCAGTGGAATCGGGTCGAAGGGGGATAACGAACAGCATTAACATGATGACAAAGGCGAAAAGCACTGCCATCAACTTGCCAACCTCATCCTACACCATGGGCTGCAATTCATTCATCT